TGGGGCTCCCGGAGCCGGTCGTACAGGCAGCAGGCCGTGGAGATCAGCTCCTCCGCCTCCAGGTCCAGGATGCTCCCGCAGACCTGGGGAAGGAGAGTGGAGATGCCGGGCGGGAGGCAGCTCCCTGGGGACCCCCCCTGCGCTCACCCCGGCTCTGTGCCACGGGCGCCTGCCGCCTATTCTGACTGGGCAGGGACTCATTGCCGCTGCACCGGGTAACCCCCTGCAGGAGCCTCCGGGTCTTCAACCAGCCCCGAGCCCTGGGCGTTTCCGGCACTGGCGCCACGTCCCTTATCCCCCTCCTCCTTCCCGCCCCCGGGAGTCCAGCCGTGGCACGGTCGGGCTGGGTGTGTAGTCCAGCCCCTGCACTGGGACAGCACCAGGTGAACCTGGCTGGGACCCTCAGGAGAGATGCTGATGGGCTCCAACGTGTAGCCCAGAGCGGCTGTCCCCTCTCCCCTGCCAGCCACTGAGAAGGGCTCGAGAGGAGCCTCCCCAACAGGGGCCATGGCCTGGGACGGCATCTGTGTGTGGGGGGGAGCTGCCTCACACCAGGCTCCCCGCTGGCCAGGGGGTCTCCCTCACCCCGGCTCCCCGCTGGCCGGGGGGCTCCCTTACCCCAGGCTCCTCGCTGGCCGGGGGGCTCCCTTACCCCAGGCTCCTCGCTGGCCGGGGGGCTCCCTTACCCCAGGCTCCTCGCTGGCCGGGGGGCTCCCTTACCCCAGGCTCCTCGCTGGCCGGGGGGCTCCCTTACCCCAGGCTCCTCGCTGGCCGGGGGGCTCCCTTACCCCAGGCTCCTCGCTGGCCGGGGGGCTCCCTTACCCCAGGCTCCTCGCTGGCCGGGGGGCTCCCTTACCCCAGGCTCCTCGCTGGCCGGGGGGCTCCCTTACCCCAGGCTCCTCGCTGGCCGGGGGGCTCCCTTACCCCAGGCTCCTCGCTGGCCGGGGGGCTCCCTTACCCCAGGCTCCTCGCTGGCTGGGGGGGGGTCTCCCTTAACCCCAGGCTCCCCGAGGCTCCCCGCTGGCCGGGGGGGTCTCCCTCACACCAGGCTCCCCGCTGGCCGGGGGGGTCTCCCTCACACCAGGCTCCCCGCTGGCCGGGGGGGTCTCCCTCACACCAGGCTCCCCGCTGGCCGGGGGGTCTCCCTTACCCCGGCTCCCTGTTGGCCGGGGGGTCTCCCTTACCCCAGGCTCCTCACTGGCCGGGGGTCTCCCTTACCCCAGGCTCCCCGCTGGCTGACTCACCATTAGAATGTCGTCTCCACCCATGTTTTCCCGCAGGATTTGGTCTCTGACTCCCTGCAGCATGGTGTAAGCCACGATCACTTGGAAATTTCTGCAGGGCATCCCCGTCAGGAACACCTGGGCAGGAGCAGCCCCCGGGCAGAGCCAGGGAATGGCCTGAGAGGCGGGTTCAATGCTCCACCCAAAGCAGCCACCTCCGAGTCAGGCGCCCCAGAAGCCTGGAGACCTCAAGGCTTTTCCTGAGCGCCAGGAGCCCCCGCCGCTGCCACCCGTGAGGCCGAACAAGGCCGCTATGGCAGAGCATGCACCCCGATAGGCTACCCTGTGGTTCAGGGGCTGGAGAAAGGGGCGGCACCTGGAATGCCAGGAGATGTCGGGCACATACAGCGCCGAGCCCCCGACTCCCTCGGTCCGTACAGCACCGAGCCCCCGACTCCCTCGGTCTGTACAGCTCCGAGCCCCCGACTCCC